TTTTTTTTACAGTTCACAAACATTTCGTAAGCATAGGAAGTTGACAATTTTTGTCGTTGTAGTTTCTTCTATGGAGTTAAAATTTCGTAAATATTGGAAATAGTTACGTTTTTTATTTTTATTAGCTTCGGTGATGAACCACCAACTTAATTTAATTGGCACAAAAACTATTATAAAGGGAATTTCAAATTTCATGAATGTAGAATGATCCCATGTGCATATAGAATTTATGTTATGTGAAATGTATAACTATTACGCTGAGAAAGGAGGTAAGGGTAGTTCTTATTCCCAAAGTTCATTTTCAAGAATTGTTTTAACAAATTCAAATTATCTATGGAATTATTTAGATACCAATACCAGTGTTCCCTTATTTAGTTCTAGTTCATCAATATCTAGAGCAATAATGTCAATGGTACAAATCTTGAAATTACATCAGTGTTAGCTAGGTATATGTGCGTGGATGTTTGTAATATGTTACAATCAAAAGAATTACAAGAATTTAGTCTTTTATCATGGTGGAGGTGTAACTAAAGGTAATATACAATTGTATCAAAAATTGCTCACGATCTACTAACACCGTCGGTGTCTACAGCAGCATCGGAAGTTGCATTTAATTTAGGCAGTCGAGTTTTATCAGACGAACGATCAAGATTAAAAGAAAATATATTGGAGGCTTTAATATACTTAAAGGACTAGGAATGTACGAAATTACGTGTTCAAGAACAAATTGACAAATAATGGCCGAAGAGTTGCAACAAATCCAATGATATGATGTTGTAAATTCTTAAATTGATTAGTTTTAAAAAATATGTAATTTTTAAATTTTTTTGTTTTAAGAAAAATTGTACACGAAATATTTTATTCGTATACAATTTTAACTTCACCTACGATGATTGTAAACGGTTTCAAGCCAGGATAAAGGAGAATGATTGTAACTTTTATTTAATTTATAATACGTATAAATTGCGTAAATTTTAAATTCTTTAAAAAAAATTAGATTTGTCACAAAAAAAATTGAGCAGGTTCAGCTCGGCCTATCTAAGGCTCGAGCCGAAAGCTCGGATCAAGCCTCAATTTTTTGGTTGAGCTTTTGTTCGGCTCATACCAAAAAAGTCCAAACCATTTTTGCTCGAACTGAGCCCGAACTTTGAGTTTCAACTCGGCTCGACTAGTTGACACCTCTATCCTTAGTTGTCGTCATAGCCGAAGTGGAATGGTTGTTAGACCACAAAACAGCTGCCACCTAAGGAGCTCTCATGTTGTTACAGCTTCTCCAAGCTTTGGTGTTCAATTGCCGTACAAAATTCGAAGGAAATTTTGAAAATCAAAGAAGAAATGCCTTGCCATTTATAGCAAAATGGCAACCACAAATTGAACTCGAGAATGGTAGATGGTTAGAACTTGAGTTATTTTCATATACAGAATGGAGTAGCTTGCCGTTGCAGTTGAAGGTGGTGATGGCTTCGATTTTGAGACGAGGTGGTGGTGGCTTCGATTTTTTGGATGGGATGGGGTAGTTTTAGAAGATGATGATTTTTTATTTAATTATTTTAATTGTTTTTATATGGAAAGAGATAAATTTACCATTTTACCCTTATAGAAATAATTAATAATGTGGTCAAAATAATTTTCGTGGTCAACTAATGAAAAAGTGGATGGTTTCCATAGAGATGGACCTTAGCTGCATATATATACAAGGTTAGGAACCTCCACTGGTATAAAATGAAAGTTATGGTAAAGTCTACAAAAATTGAGAAGGTTAGGGACCGCTACTGTAATTTTCCCTAAAAAAATATTTTAAAAATAAGCAATTAAAGAGATGGACCGCCTTCGCTCCAACTCGTCATGTTATCATTAATGGATTGAGCTACTTGTATATAAGTTGTTTATAGACTCGTTGACAAATGAGCTGAGGTAGTATGCATTTTGGAATAATTTAATTAAATAATGGGTGTAAATGAAATTCAAATGAAATGGCTAATGGCATATGCAGCCCAACATGCATTTGTCCCAATTTTCGTGGTCATTACAGGATATCAAATGAAATCGAAATATAGTATTCTTAATACAATTTTAAAGTGCTCAAGATCTAGTTTTTCATATCATTAACGACACACGAAATGGTCAACCATAGCAAAGGTTACTGTGCGTCGAAGTAGTCATTTCAAATTAGTATTTTGAAAATTTCGATATTATGCTAATTTTAAAAATTTGTCAGTGTTCGCACATTAGCCAAATCAACAAATCGTTTACATCATCTTAAAGCTCGTTTTGAGAACTACATCAAAAATATATCGAATGGTCTAAACGAACATAAAAATAGTTAAAAACATGTATCAAATGTACGTATGAAAAAGTGATATTTAATTCATCTTTTCTTTAAAAAATTTTTGCTATTTCATTAATATTTATTATTTTTTGCACGACAAATTTCTTAATATAATTTGCATTACTTAATTAGAAAATTTTACATGGTATGACGTCAGAAATTTTCCGATCGTTACATATTAAATATAATTTGAATTACAAATTTTTGGCGTTATACTTATGTAAAATTTTCTAATAAAATAATGTAAATTATATTGAGAAATTTCTCATTACAAATTAGTGTAATTTGGATTACAAATATTTGATGTCATGCTCATGTAAATTTTTTAAGAAAATGATGCAAATTATATTGAGAAATTTGTTATGCAAAAATAATAAATATTAATGAAATAATTGAGAATTTTTAAAGAAAAGACGAGCTAGATGTATCTTTTTGATATATCCGTTTGATGCTTGTTTAACTATTTTTTATATTTGTTTCGATCATTGATATGTCTACGATGTAGTTCTCGAAACAAGTTTCGATTTGTGGATTTGGTTAGCGTGCAATCTTCAACGAATTTTAAAGTTAACATGCTATCGAAATTCTTGAAATACTAGTTTGGAACGACCTACTTTGACGTATCATAACTTTAATAGTTGGTTGTTTTGCTTGTCATTAGCAGCGTGGAAAATTAGGTCGTGAGCATTTCAAAATGATATTAAGAGTACAATGTTCCGATTTCATTTGATATTCCGCAATAATCTTGAAAATTGAGATAAATGTATTATTGATGCTGTGGCTGAATACTCCATTGGCCGTTTCATTCGAATTTCATTTACACGAATTATTTAATTATTAAATTATTTCGTCACCTCAACGCATCTATCGAAGAATTGATATTTGTACCGGGGGGTTGACACCCCCTCACTGGCCCTCACAATAGTGGGGGACCCACCTTTTTAAAAAGGGAAGTGCTATGTGTACATTTGTATACACATATGGGATGCCATAATGTGAGTGAGGTGGGGCTCACGCTACAGTATCGTGGGTCCCATCTCACTCACATTATGTCAACCTCTATGTGTACACCTATGTACACATAGATTAATTCTTTTAAAAACAGGTGGGTCCCTTACTATTGTGAGGAACCGGTGAGGGGAGGTTGTCAACCCCCGATAATTGTAACACATCTCTTTCGACGGGTCTGTAAACAACTTCTGTAGCTCAATCCATCATTCATAATTTTGAGTTCACGAAGTCAAAACAAGACATTTACCATAAATTCAGCAACTCGTTATGGTCAACTAAATAGTTTTCTAATCAATTGCCCGGGCCCACAAAAGATAGTATTTATCTGTCCGGTTACTTTCTACTCTCTCCAGTGCTGAATATTAATTTAGCGCGACTATTTTCAAAACCTCAACCATTTAAGCGACTCTAGTTCAAAAGCGTCACCGTACAGAACTTCACAGTTATATAATCAAGCATGCAGCACTTACAGAAGAATGGTTCAAGGGGTTGGTTGGTGCACAGAAATTCACAAAAATGCAGCGGGGTGGGTTTTTTTTTTCATTTTTTATTCCGGTGGATCCGAGAGTTAGTAAATTTTCTGTGAACCATTCTGGTTTAATTCTTATACAATAGTGTTCTCGCTCTTTTTCCTTGATGTTGCCGTTGCGTGTTGCACTTTTTGAACTATAAATTTCACAAAAATTGCACACACACAAAAGATTTCTCCATTTTGGGTCCTTTTATTCTATATTTTGGTTGTTTAATTCTGACAAAATGGATGAAGAAGAGAAATTCCCACTAGAAGAAAATCAGTCCCATAAAGAAGAAGTGATAAAAAATGGATTCCGTGGAAAGATTTTGAGCCCTTTTTACTGGTTGGAAATGCTGAGTAAGGAATTACACTGGAGATTTGTGTTAGGAGTAGTGATTGTGTATGGAATTAACCAGGGTCTTGGTATGGGTTTGAGCCGTTTGAGTATACAGTATTACATGAAAGATGAGCAAAAATTGCAGCCCTCTGAAGCTCAGTTTTACTCTGGAATAATTCAGATTCCTTGGTTGGTTAAGCCCTTTTGGGGTCTTCTCACTGATACAGTTCCTATTCTTGGATACAGAAGGAGACCCTACTTCATTTTTGCTGGTAAGATGAAATGTAGAAATGATTAGTTTTTAGCGATTTGTTTTATACTTGAACCCTTGATCTAAAAACTTAAAACATTGCCTTCAACATAATCAGGGTTGCATAATTTCATTAAATGGGTGGGGTAAAGACTTGAAAAACTTGATACATGTTGAAAATTTTGACCTAAAAATTTAATATGTAAGAGAGGGTCACATCTATGTAATTTAAATCTTGTATTTAAGATTACTGATCAATTTCATATTATGTGAGCCATTGAATGAATAGAAGGAGTTGACTTTTTTTTAGAGCATTCTGTTTGCGTAAGTTTTTCTTTTTTTTCCTTTCTATTTGTCGTTGAATACACTGGTAAGGACTCAGATTGAGCACTTCTTTTAATATTGTATTGCGAGGAGATTACAGATACTGAGATGCAAGTGTATATGAACAGATTGATTCGATGATTAAACATGATATGCAGAAATTTAGAAGCCAAATTTCAATTGGATATAATATTTAGGTATGGATTTATTTAAGGGGACTAGCATTTTGGTAATAGAAGTATATGGAAGCGTTATAACAATATGTGGTAATGGTATAGTGAAATATCTTAGTGCCTGGCCTTGGGACTTAAATAATCTATGATCAAATAACATTTGAACAACCAGCAAGGAGTCTTAGCCACATAAATTATCCATTAAAGGGGTAAACATTGCATAAAGTAGCTGTGGAAAGATAGAAGAAAGATAAATAGATGGCTGTGCTTGACCAAAGAAGTTATGATATGACTCACACTTGAAAGTGCAATACCTTTCTTAAATCTTAATAAAAACACGATTTATTAATTGTTTTTGAGCTTATCATGTGCATGATGTAAGTTACTCTTCAGTTTCCTTCACATTTTTCTTGCTCATAAAATTCTCTGAAATCACGAAACTATTCATAAGCTACTCAGTTCATATAACTCTTATCTAAACACGATGTGAAGATATAGTGGATGCAAAAGCCTTTCCACTTATTTCAATTGCGAGGCAGAATCATTTAAGAGAAAAATGACATTTTCTATAAGATCTTGTGTCTGGCTAGTCGGGGTTATTTTGGTCTTTTCATATTTGGAATACCATTGACAGATTAGGGGAACCGAGCACGTTAATGTTCACTAAAATAACAATTGAACAGAAAGACAATTTTGGCAGATACATATCTGATGAGATCTGAGAGATAAATTTGTATAAAGAACTGAATATAACAATTGAAGTGATTGTGGAACAGGCACCTTGTATCATTAAAGTGTGAGTGGCGAATCCTCCTCCTCAGAATTCATATACTCCTGTATCTACGAGAACGATTTTGTGTTGTATAACTTTGTTATAGAACTTTACAATTTCTAAGCACCACTCAACTCCACAGAGGAATTAAATAACTAAATGTTAAAGAAAGATACGATCCTTGATATAGCTCTTAATGATTCAGGTATTCTTGGTGCTACCTCAATGATTATACTATCACTGGACACGAACTTGCACCTTGTACTTGCACTGGTTCTTCTTATGGCAACGAGTATGGCAGTGGCAGTAGCAGATGTGACCATTGATGCCTGTGTGACTGAGAATAGTATAAGTCATCCAACTATTGCTGGCGACATGCAGAGTTTGTGTGGAGTGAGTTCCTCGATCGGCCAATTAATTGGATTTGCAAGTAGTGGCTTTCTAGTTCATTTTATTGGATCAAAGGTTTGCTATTCTCCCTCTAGATTTTTCCTGTCGCATTGATTTTTATTAGGTTTTAAAATGCATTCTGATAATATATTGATTTTGCCCATCCTTTTTCTGATTGATTGTGATCTGTTTAATGCTAAAACAATGATGGGATGAAGTGAAAATATGAAATACAACTAAAAAATACTGCATTAGCGTAGACTGGTATGTTGATGAAATTGATTTAGTTAAAATGAGCTATTGAGCTCTTTTACATTTGTTTACATTAGATATACATTATCTCGCTGCAGCTGATTCGTATAAACCCTATAGGCGATTCATTTCTAATAAAGGCTAAAGTAGTTTCTTGACTTTACTAATTGTGTCTCTTGCCTGGCAGGGTGTTTTTGGAGTTCTTAGCATTCCTATTGGACTGGTCATTCTGGTTGGAATTATGATTCGAGATCCCTTTATCCGAAACTTTTCTTATAAGCAAGTAAGCAGCTTTTTATCAAGGACAGATTTTATCTATTCTTTTGGACCTTACCCGTGCAAATGTATATCTGAAATAGGTGAATGAAAAGTTTCTGGATGCTGGTAGGGCTCTGTGGATGGCACTCAAATGTTCAGTTGTTTGGAGGCCATGTTTGTACATGTATCTGTCACTTGCATTGAGTCTGCATTTACACGAGGGAATGTTCTATTGGTATACAGACGCAAAAACTGGTCCTTCTTTCTCGCAGGTAGAACTCTTTTATTTGTTGTTTTATGCCGAATTCTTTTCATAATAAAAGTTCATGAAATTAATTTGCAAAACTAAAGATCGTCGATTCCCTTAATCCATAAATAATTTTAATCTCTATTCCTTCATCCACCTGATGGTAAAAGTATTGAGCTTTTAAGGAATACTTTGAATGTCAACTTGTGAGTTTTACCTCCTATTCAATTTAATTATTTAGTGTTAAAAATGTTACTTTCTTTGCACAGTTTTAGTAATGAGCTAACAAATTAAGCCTCTGTGTTAGAGATTCTTTAAAACTCATTTTTTCACAAACTCATTTTCCACTATACATTCTTCTAATAAAATATTTTTGCACGTGGACCCGTAACTTTTTCTTATTTTTAGCCACACATTCTTCAAAAAAATCACTTTTCACAAAATCTATTCTCGAAAAACTACATAAAGCATGCCCTAAATGACACACTCAGGAAATTCATTAGTCCCTGAAATCTTGCTTTGTGCAGGAAATGGTAGGGTCCATATCAGCTGTTGGTGCTATTGGATCTCTTTTAGGTGTTCTTCTCTACCAAAATGCTTTCCGGAATTATCCATTTCGTCACGTGCTTTTCTGGGCACAGCTTCTATATGGTCTTTCAGGCATGCTTGATTTGATATTGGTCATGCGCATAAACTTGAGTTTTGGTTTGCCAGATTATGTAGTAGTTGTAATTGATGCAGCTGTTTCCCACATGATTAGTCGACTCAAATGGATGCCTCTTCTTGTACTTAGTTCTAAGCTTTGTCCCTTGGGAATAGAAGGGACATTCTTTGCTTTGCTTATGTCAATTGATCATGTTGGTACGCTTTCAGCATCTTGGGCTGGAGGGCTCTTGCTCCATACTTTGAATGTAACAAGGACAACCTTTGACAACCTTTGGCTGGCCATATTGATAAGGAGCCTTTTCCGAGTTCTTCCACTGGCGATTCTATTTTTGATACCTAATAGTGATCCAAATGCAGCTATCCTTCCAACCGAGATGTTAAGGAAAAAAAGGAGTGAACTTACATTGGACAATGATATGGAAATAACCTCTCTAGTCACCAAAATTGACCATAATACGGTAATTCATTGAATCGAGCTCGTGGGAAGGATGATTCGACATAGAAACAGAGGATTATCAGTTGTTTTTCCCTGTATTTCTTTCGAACTATCTTTCATTAATCATGTATATTTCCAGCAGAGTAGCTCAAAGATACTAACCATCGCATCGAAGATGAATCTGGTGATCCGGAGATGTGCATTTCTCCTGTTTAGACATTATAGTTCACATTAAACCATTATTTTTTTATGAAGTAAAACTGTTTGATGACACGGATACACAAGTTGAGTTGGCCATAGCCTGACGCAATTTGTACTATCAAGTGGAAGCAATTAGCGGCTGGACCACAGAGGAGAAATCAAGATTCTTTTTCTGACATTGTCCAACTCATCTACGAAAGATCAATGGTTGACAAGTTCGAGACATTCCTAAGGTTGGCTCTCTTATATTTTATGTGAAAGAATTTGCAAATGATTCAGAGTTTCCGTTTATTTTAACATTTTATATTCTGAGAGAATATATTAGTATCTGATTTTTCTCAACATGCAATACAAAATTCCTGTTCTTTACTTGTTTGTAATTGATGTACCTGCATTGATTAGTTTATTCAGACTTTGTTCTTTTCTGGAAAGTTGCTTGAATAGAAGGGTAAAACAAAAAATTGCAAGTGTGGGAATTTCTAATTATCTTTTTGTGCTTATCTGAAATTTTTACATTTTTTACAGTGTTGTCTTCATTTGGCTAGCCTAGTAGTATAATTTGAGTGAGCTACGTAAAACCACCTCCCTTCTTGTCATAAACTACAAAAGAAAACTTTATACAGAACTTAAATTTGAGCCTGTCTCATAAAATACATCTTACAATACATTTGAACACTCGATAAAAATTACAAGTGGTCTTCAGATATTCTATACCTCCCTCCCCCATATCACAAAATAGAAGTCTACATGTAGAATCAGAACCAAGAAGAGCGATGCACTTCTTTGAGTTGTTTAGGTGAAACTGCAAGTCTCCTTGGCAAATCCCAGTATGCTCTGTTTGGTGTCATATATGACCCTTGTATTCCTTTGTTGATAATTCCCAATAATACCAATCTCATCTTCGTAAGATAGGCTTGCAAGAGCCAAACAAACTTGAGATGCATCGCTCTTGACAAAATAAAATGTCCCGGTAATATCCACATTCAGCTCGGCACCACCCTCAAACTGCAACTTAACTGTAGGAACGTTAACTTCTTCATATTCTGAGAGATTAAAGCATGTGTCCAAGATTGAAAACCCAGGTGCTGGAGGATAGCCTGAAAATTGTTTCAAAAACTCAGTTTTGACAGCCCTGTAAACGGATGGAGGAAGCCTGGTGATAACAGTCCCGGAATCAATAAGAATACTGCCTTTGCCAAAACTTGGAGCTTGTACAGCCACCCCACCTATGCTAGTTCCAGTTAGGTTAAGAATGTAAAAGGTGTCAAGCTGCAGATTTGGAACCATTCTAGTGTAAGATATGGGTGTAGAATTCTTGTAAACTGATGAGTCACCCCCGAGTATTAGTGAACCCGAAGCCTCGGAGTCAGTGTCCGGCAAGCAATAGGAGAAAACTCCTCCAAATACATGAGAAGTTTGAGAAATCAATGAGAGATCACTCCTTCCAAGTCCCATTAGGCCTGAAGCTGCCCCGAAGAGGCCTTTATTATTCCGTCCACATCCAAAAACAAAATTCTCAATTGGGGTGGTTCCAAGAACCAGGTTATCTTGACCTAGTTCACCGCGAGTGTAGGACCCATCACCATAGGTAACAAGGTAGTTGCAAGTTGGTGGGTTATTTCCACATAAGCCCGAGTTGCCCGTGGCATATTGTAGAGATTGACAGGCTCGTGAATTGCATTGAACTGACTGGTAAGAATGGGATAGTCCGGGGTTGAAGAGAGGTTCTGGTTGGGTGTAACATGTCTTACAAGGCTGGCACTGAACCCATGTTAGATCACTCCCGCTGTCGACTATCACTGTTATATTTCGACTGCCTAGTGTGACCATAACTATGTAGTTAAGAGTCTGTAGCTTGACACCTGAGGTAATAGGAATCTGAGTTTGTGAGAGAGAGTCTGTTCTGCTGGAAACTATTTTTCTGATTTGAGACTGTAGAGACCTAACACGAATATTATCAGCAATTAAGCGTCTCTGGAGCATTCGTGTCCAGTCTCTAACTGGTCCTGAGCAGTGGTCTCGGTGCTTCATTTCCAATATGATTGCTCCATTCCGTGTCCCTAAAATCCAATATAAATGAAACCATGAAACTTTATCCATTTTCTGCACTTTATTCCTGTTGTTTGAACAAGAAACAGAAACGAATACTTTCTACTTTTATTTTACATTCACTGAATCAAATTCGAAACTCAAATGAAGTGTGTAAAAAATAGATAACTTATTCTTAACAGTTATATTCAACTCCAACTACCGTAAAGAATAACAAATGGGAGACAGAGTTGACGGTGTCTTTAATAAAGCTTAAAAGCAGATAATATCAGATTATCATAAATCAATGAAAAAGCTAATAATGTCCCAAATAAAGTATTTTAATTTAAATCTTTTCTTGCTTATACTTAACTCGATTTTTGAGAGAAACAATCCCTTTTCTTGGCTGGCTGTGCCCACTGAAATCTTTCCAAAGGAAGAAGTTCCTTATCTCCATAACTGGAGACTTCATTTGCAGAACTTATTAGCAGAAGAAGAACACAAAACAGTGATGCCCAAAGAACCATTTTTCACATAATTTTTTGAAGATAGGAATGAATTCAAAGATAAGGGATGAATTGCAGAGAAAAAGAGGAAGAAGGAAGTGGAAGAGATTCTTAGGAATTGGAATTTGGCATGAAAACAAAAGGAGAGGCTGGCTAAAGGACCCACATTTGCATGAGAAATTATTAAGATTTCACGTGCAGATACTTTGAAAACAAAGTCTTGTGTTTTTCTGGGTGCAGAGCTGAGCTTGTGATTTATAGTCTATACAATAGAATTTTATTGGTTTTGCCGAACTTCCATGGATAAGGACTCACTCATCTCTTCACGGAATCAACTGTCATAACTTACTTACCAACAGGAAAAGAGAGAGTGAGAGAGGCCCCCCAACCCATCCTAGGGGGTCGAGGTGGGGGTCGGGTTGTTTGATGTTTGTCCTTCTCACTTGTGAAAATCACGTGCATAGAACAGGGTTAAGGTTGGTCGACACATTTTGGTCACATTTTGGTTTAGTTAGTTTATATATGGCTTAATGTCGTGAACAAGTCATAATAGCGTCTTTTGCTTTTGAACTAAATGGGGGCTATCCTTGATTTTTATGGAATAATTCTGTCTGGAATAATACTATCTAACCTACCACACTAGTTAAGGTGTTAGCCTATTATAGATTCTATTGAACATGTCATAAATTTTTATATTTAATTGAACCTGTAATTTAATGTCACAAATGATGTCGCTTAGACTGATGTTAAATAGTAGTGATGCTAAATATCATTCTCTTTTTTATCGGAAGAAATTTTCTAAAAATTATTAAAGTATATAGAGAACGTGAAAAGGAGTAGTTTTCTTAAAATTATTTTTCTAAAAGGCATTCCAAAGTTAGGGGGTGTTTGTTTTTTATTTCAGTTAGCGAAATCACTAAATTAAGGCCCTATTTGGGAGGGATTAGATTTTTCTACAGTAAATCAATTCTCATTTTCAACCACACATTTTTCAGTAAAATAATATTTTTATCACATCAATAATTTTTTCTTCTTTTTCAGCCACATATTTCCCATCATATCACTATTCAAAAATCAATTCTTCCCCCAAAAATCTCTACCAAACAAGTACTTAATCAATTTCCCTTCACTCATTTTTTGTCAAGAAAATTAGAGTTTCGAGTCCCCGACCTATACAAAAGATATCTCATTAATATGGATGTCAAATTTGGAACGGATTGGAGACAATGTTGTGTGTTTGAGAATTATATTGAAACAAAGTCCAGTTCATGTATGATTTTAAATAATTGTGTAGTCGATGTATCATTTGTGTATTTAAAAGACTTTTGGTTGCGCAATACTTAAATTTCGACCAACGTCAATATTTGCATATTTGAAATCAAATAAAATAGTAAATCTATTGAACATTAAGGAGCAAAAGGGAACAATATTGTATAATATTCCAAAATTGGGATGCAAATTGATCAAAAAAAATAAAAAGTTATTCTAACCGAATTATATGATTTAGGTGTATAGTTTTTTCAGCACTTTTCATTAGGGCTGCACAAAAAATCGCGAAACCACAAACCGAACTAAGTCGTTGGTTTGAGTCCACGTGGACCCGTGATTTTTTTTCTTTCAAACGGAACCAAACCATTTCAAAATGGTTTGGTTTATGTTTCAAATTTTAAAAACCGCAAAAAATCAAATAGAACCGCACTTTTTTTAATTAAAAAAATTATTTTTATTAAATTATAAATTTTATTAAAGTATACTTTCTTGGAGGGTACAAATTTAATTAACCTAAGTCATGCATAATAAATAAATCAGTAAGTCATTGTCATTAGCATTTAGCTGGGCCTTCGTTAAATTTTTTTTGGGGTACTTACAAAAATACCCTTAAAATTAGGGATGTTTTGAAAAATCATGTGAAAAGTTTTTAGAAAGTAAAAAATACTGTGTAAAATGAAAAAGTGACACAATGTCACTTTTTTACTTTTTAAAAAAAAGTAACACAAACTCAAAAAAAGTGACAAAACTAAAAAAAGTGACAAATACCAAAATAGCACAATCCATTTGTGCAACACCAGTAATCATGTTTTTAAAATAATCACTACGTGGCCAATCCACATGCTGATTACGTAAAAAAAAAAAGTAATAATAAAAATGTGATTCACTGTCACTTTTAAAGTTAAGTATCATTTTTTTATTAATAGAATAGCACTTTTATTAGAAATTGATGTTTGTCACTAAAAAAGTGATAGAAATCAAGAAAGTGATTGAAAAAAGTGACAAAGATTAAAAAAAAGTGACAAAACACCAATTAAAGCATTAGAATGAGTTCAATAAAGTAACAGAAAAAAGTGACATAATCAAAGCATGATTAAGTGACATTTGTTGCATGATTGTGATTCATTGGAATCAATTCAATAAAGTGACAACAAATGTGGCATAAACAAACCATGATCAGGTGGCATTGGTGCATAATTGTGATCCCATTATTGTATTATCATACACAAATTTCCCAGTTAGGGCTAACCCATTCTGATTGCTATTCTATTCATTAAAAATCCCTAATTCACTTATCAAACACTTATCAAACACTTTCATTAATGCAAGAAGCAAGCAATTAGATGAGGCTGAATCCTTTGATTTCCTGCAAGTACAATGTTGCAATACATTACGATACGCAGTCCTTTCTAGTATACCAAACATGCTATATATGTTACACGTTTCCTTACTTCTAAGATTAGATGGAATTCTGAAGCTGACCACAAATTCTGGCAAGATATGAGTATTCATTCGAGTACTCCAACCTATGTACTTTCTAGGAGACACTAAATTATCGATCCCGGAATCAAATTCTTCGGAACTTGGATTATATTGTTCCGAACCTGGTCGAACAACCTCCATCCTTCCCAATATAACACGGCAAAGCAACATGTGCCTTAGCCCATCATCATCATCATCATCAGTAACAGATATTTGTATACTATTAAATTGAAAATTTTACATCAGCACAAAAAAAATGGATCCCAAAATAAGACTCAATTCAATATAAAAAAAAAAAAAATCTAAACCCCGCAATCTGGCGTCAACTATATTTAATTATTTATCTTTTTTCAGTCTATCACTCCATTTTCTGACATACTCCACCACCAGCACCAATTAGCTAATAATTCTACCTC